TATAACTCTCATAACTAGACTCTACTTTCTCTAAGCACCCTCAGAAGGGTAAAAGACCATTTCACCCCTCCTTTGGTTCAAAGGCCCTCATTGTTGACCAAACCCTAAAAGTCAACCAAAGTCAACGGTCAAACTTTGATCCGACTCGGCAAGTGCACTTGGGCAACTCGGCGAGTCCACCTGTGTCCACTTAACTCTTTAGTCCTATTTAACACGTCGAGTCCCTCCCTTTACTCGACGAGTCCCCAGGTAAGAATCGCGGTGCTACCCCGACTCAACTCGCCGAGTCTCAAGAACAACTCGGCGAGTACATGCCATGTACAAACTCCATTGACCTCCTGAGGTCAGATTTGTTCCTCAAATCCATAGATCTATCCTTCCGAAGCATAATAATCATGTAAAGTCCAGACGTTGACACTCATATATCATCTAGATGGTATCATTTGGAGATTTAGCCCTAAAAATGGCATCCTAAGCTCATAACTCCCAAGATACTCATAGAGCTCCAAGGGTTAAGGTCTCTGGACCTCTTTGAGTCCAGATTCAAAGCATAAACTCGATAAGGGACCAATTGCTCCACATAAACATCCTTAAAGGAGGTTAGAAAAACCCTAACTCTAGGTATCAATACCACAACTGAAGAATGTCCAAATAAATACATCAAGTTGAAGTCTCTGAACTCTAAAACCACTAGAACCACACCTCCTTCAGTCTCCTCTTGCTCTCGATCACCTTCTTCTTGCAAAACCAAAGATAACAAAGGTAAAATATGGCTTCTCCTTCCTCCCAAACAATCTATCTCACTTAGGGTGCTCTCAAGGGACTGGTAGCCGCAATGGAAGGATAAGAGTGGCTTAAATAGGCTCCAACCCCGAAGGATTAGAGTTTCATTAAACAACATGGACTTCCCGTGTCCACTCATGGACTCGCCGAGTCCAACGCGAACCCGGATGATCAACCGCGACCCTACTCGACGAGTCTAAGCATCAACTCGCCGAGTTCCTTCACAAATTCCAAAAATAAAATATTAGAATAATATACCTGGGATTCTGAATGTTACACTTAACTAACGAACTTGACATATTGAAAAATAAGTTTGAAAATGCAGATTTTAATTTCAAAAAATTTGATTTGTCAAGTAAGAAATTTGAGTCTATGATTGAGAATCAATTGAAATTTAAAGATAACCAGCAAAAGGGTCTAGGGTATGATAACGTTCCTTCACCTTTCAATCATAACTACACTTCCGTTCCTATGACACAAGAAGAAATATACAGGGATGCACATCTTCATTATGGTAAACTTGCTATGGTTGTGATAACAAATAGCTCTAATGTGAACGATACTAATATTTCTAATTTATATATAGATTCACCTTTAGTTTAAGGCAAGCAGGCAGCTGGAGAGAGTGTTTCTGATAATAATTTAGTTTTGCAAACTGATGTTTATGATTCAAACAATGATGTTTTTGTTTCTAATTTGAATGATTTTGTTTTGAAATATGATGATTCGAATGATTCTGATAAGTGTGGTGATGTGTCTAATAAATCTAATAAACCCGTCACTAGCAAATACCCGCCACCTAATCTAGTCACACAATTTGAACCATACATGTACACTTGTGGGAAAAGTAAAGAATTCAATAAGGACACTAAATCAGGAAAGAGCGGTACCCGTTTCTATATGAAGAAATAAACATGTTTCAATTGTGGAATTTATGGTCATATCGCGAGAAATTGTCCAAATCGTCCATATGTTCCTTATTATGATTAAGGTAGAAAGCATGAGTCACGAGGAAGATATCTTAAGAGAAAGTCCTCGAGATCTCATTCAGTTGATGGTGATTGGAACTCTAATAAAGATAGAAATCGGGCTGAACTTAAATAGAACAAACTAGATTTAAACAAAAATTCAACAGGTACTTTTACGAGGTCAAAATTGGCTAAGCCAAGGTCAACATCGTCAATGTCATCGTCTGGGTCTTCATCTAGTCATAGACAGATACCCAAACGATCAAAAGCAAAGAAAAATATTTCAAAATCACCTGTTAATAAACCTAATTACTAATAGGTGCCCAAAAATTCATCAGTAAAATCACCTCAGACTTCGTTGCATGCATCTGGTAATCAATCTGATCTTAAAAATGAAAAAGTCCATTCTGTTAATAGAATAGGTAAACCCAATGTTTCTAAGACATGGGTTCCAAAAACTAACTAATCCCGTGCATCATGCAGGAAAAACTATGGAGGCATATCTTCAGACCCTGGTATGTCGATAGTGGCTGTTCCAGGCACATGATAGGAGACATTTCCCAACTGCACGACATTTAAAGCTTTGATGGGGGTTATGTTTCCTTTACAGGAGGAGAAGGTGGAAAGATCACTCGGAAGGGTACTATGACGAATGGTGTGCTTAGATTTGAGAACATGAACTATGCGCCCGAGCTGAAACATAGTTTGTTGAGTGTATCTCAGATTTGTGATAAAGGCTATTCCACTCATTTTATGAATAAAGAGTGTCTCATTTTGAAGTCCGAAATCATTATTCCTGAAGACTAGATACTAGTTAGATCAAAAAGGGAAGTGAATGCCTGTGTCCTTGACATGAATCATACCATTCCCGAGCAAGTCACTTGTCTTTTCTCAAAAGTCTCTGAACACAATGTCATGCTGTAGCATTGTCGACTCGGCCATGCAAATGCCAAGAACCTCAATCGTATTTCTAAAAATGAGATTGTATATGGTCTTCCAATCAAATATTTCATAACTTTTGAAAAGTATGTTCCTTTCTTTTCTCTCCTATGCACAAATTTACGGGGAGAAATCAAAATACAAAAATATATATATATATATATATATATATATATATATATATATATATAAAACAAAATTCTAAAAAATATATACTTATGTTTTTCTTTTGTAGGCGATCCTTTGGGAAGTGATATCAAGAAAGAGTAATAACGGGCAGTTGCAATAAGTGTAAAGTACTGAAACTGAATTGTCTAGACTTTGTGATCAATGTGCTGGTAGGCACAAAGGGTTCAAAAGGACTAGACTTAGATTGACAATTGACTGGACTTCACAGTATGGACTTAGATAGTTTTATTTGGACTAACAATACGACGCTTGGATAGATTCAACAGTGAGATAAACATGAGAACCTGCAGGATACATTAAGGTCATATGTATCTACATATTTGGCTTGACATTTCATTGATGTACGAATTAATTTCCTCAATTCCGGTACTGATAGGGTGACTGGGGGGTTCCGATAAAGTAGGTCTGTAGAAAATTGTTTTCATGCTTTCTATATGTCAGTTATATGTTGCTTCCTCTATGTGATTGGAAGAGATATGACCTGCAAAGTAAGATATGCAACTCTATCTCTATGCACCTTCTTATCTATGCAATTCTTTCTATTTGTTAGTCATATGATGTCTCCTCCGCGTGTTTGAAATAATCCGACCTGGAACACAACATATGCAACATTTTACCTCTCAACCTCTCTATCTGTGTTAGTCACATGTTGTCCCCTTGCTGTGATTGGAAGAGATCCGAACTAGGGCACAATATCTGCATTTCTAAATCTGATTTCTTTCCTAATAATTTTCTACTCATCTAAAGTAAGGAATGCTTTGGAAGTTCTTGATTACTGGGGTATATCGGAAACTTGGGAAACACGTTCTAGTGCATCTAAAAGTGAACCATTTAATAGGTTTTCTGTCGATATCGTTGCTTAATTTAATTGGACAAAAATATCATTGGTTGTCGATAACGAAATGGTCCATTTAAGAATTTAAGAGCAATGTCTTGTCATTTTATTTTCTTTTAAAATTGTCAAAAATCATTCGTGTTTAAGTGGACCAAAATACCGTCATTGACCAGATTTATTCATGAAGGTGAAGGTACTGAAAAACAAGTTAAGACTTTGTTAGAACTTATGATCCCAAACTATTAAATGTTTTTATAAAGTGTGAAGAGTAGTTAGTGTTATTTTATATTATATTATATTATATTATATTATTTTATTTATATTTTTATTTATATTTTTTATTTTCTAAAAATTTAAGAAAATTTTTGGTTTGAATTTAAATTTTTTGATTTTATGTTTAAGTCTTCAAAACGTTTCTTTTTTAATAGAAAAATGGATTTTCAGTCTTGAAATTGGGGTTTTTGGTTTAAGTCTATAGGATTTGGTGTTATGAGCCGAAAACTGTTATGGGTCAAAATTTTGATTTAGGGTATAAATATAAGAATTTTCGGCTGCTTCCCTCATTGTTTAGGTCTCAACCGAAAATCCTCTTATTCTTTCTCTCTCCTGTTCACGTTTGCAGTCAAAATCCATCTAATCAATTCAATTCTATTTAGTGTTTTTCAAAAAATTGCATCATGATTCTTCATTGTAAGTGATTTACGACTTCCATACAACTGATTCTCACTCTATTTGATCAAGTTTTGTAGGTTTATGAAGAAAAAACATGATGCTAATGGTGGTTTAAGTAAAATGCAAAAGAAGTCGTTTTCGGCCAAAAACCCATTTTTGGCCGAAAATTCGTTTTCGGCCGAAAACCTGTAGTTGGTCGAAAATCCACTTTCGGCCAAAAACCCGTTTTTGGTCGAAATTTAGTTTTCGGCCGAAAATCCTTTAATCAACCTAATTTTGACCAAGTTTAAATCAAATTGAAGTATAATTGACTTTGGTTGACCAAAATCAACTATAGTTAATTGAAATCAATGTTTTGAGAAAGTTGATCTTAATTGTTTAATTTTTGATCTTCTTACTTGGCTAATTTGACGCAAACAAATGGCAGATTTGAGATTTTCTGAAAATCAAAACATTATTGCTTGCTTGTCTGATCCTCCACAAATCCATCAAGAGTTTAAGTCCATGGTTCATGGACTTAGCAACTACAGGCTTACTCACGCCTTTCGATCAAATCCCATCATTTATAAGGAGTTAATACATCCATTCTGGGATAAAGCTTCTATCAACAAAGAATGAGCAGATGGAGAAGGAACAGTGGAATCTATTATGCAAGGAAAAAAATTGTTATTTCAGAGCTAGTCATCCGAGAAGTTCTTCACTTTAAGGATCAGCCAAACTCTCCAGTTGAAATTCCTATTGATCAGATTAGAGAAGTTCTTGATAGGATGGGATACGAAGGGACTTTCCCTCCTACAATGAAGAAGTTTATCCATCCTTACTGGTGTTTTCTTGCCCATGCTTTCATAATATGCATCTCATGCAGAAAGGGAAGGGCAGATGAGATTTCTCTATCTTCTACTAGTGTTATCGTTGCTGTGATCATAGACCTGGATTTCAAAATTTCAAAGTATGTAATGAATAAGATGAAGAGTAACTTATAGTGGAAGAAGAATGATGTTTTCTTGATGTATCCCATATTTCTCCAAATGATCTTCAATGCTAAACATCAGAATTTGGAAAGAAGGCCTGACACTTTGGACTTGAAATCGTTGGTCCAAATACCTTCGGTTTAATGAAACAAAACAGAGAAGGGTTAAATCTTGTCGTTAAGGGAACAAGTCCCATGGTAAATTTGGAAAATTTGTTGAGATAGAAGAAGCTTCTAAACCAGAAGATGCTTCTGATGATGAAGATGAAGATGAAGATGTTACTATATCTGACCACGAAGATGACATCGTTCCTCATGTAGCAATTGTTGCAGAGTAACATGTACCTATGCATAATGTGGATGATGATGATGAAGGAGTTAGGATGAATGAAGGGGTGATTCACCAATTTTTGATGATGAAGATTTTTTATTTGATTTCGAGCCGAGTAATGATAACCTTAGTTCGTTCTTTGATGATGTCAATGATGATCAAGGTTCTAAATAATGTAAGGCATGGCTTGGCGGCAAGTAAAAGTTAAGCCATGACAAGCCTTGGCGATCCATGACGTTTTTCAAGGCGTGACTATATTATATACATTAAAAGATATAAATCATATAATTATTGAATTTTATCAAATATATGAAGTTTTTAGAAGTGCTATATTAATAATTAATAGGAAAAAGTTAACAAAAACTGATTTATTTTAGGCCTGATATATAATATAAAAGAAAAAAAACAGAAAAACCCGTGCCTTGAAAAAAACTCGCGCGATAACGCGATAAGGCGCGCCTTGACACATTATTTGGGCGCCACACTTCGCAAACCTGCCTTGGACATTTTCGTAATGGCTACACCACGCCTAGCGTCGTGGCATGCCTTGAGGCGCGTCATGGCGTGCCTTTTAGAACCATGATGATGATGGAATTTCTCCAACTGAGACAGAGGGAGACACTCATATTCTCAAGCTGCCATCTCAATCAGCTGCACAGATGGATGAATTCATTGCTCAACTGGATTCAACCGCAAGGATTCCTCCCCAAGCAGTTGTTACTCCAACTATTACTCCATCAGATCATGATCTTTGTATAACTCAAGCCTCTCAGCCTCCTTTGAAAAGAAGACGTACTGATCCTAGGCCGGGAGTGCTTGTAAGGGAACAAGTTCAACATGTTCAACAACCTATCACCACCACCAAAACATCCCAAACAATTCATGTTGAGAGTCCAATTCTGGACAAAGGGCTTGTTTTGCTCATTATTCTTTTGAAGCAAGGAGCTCTTCAGCTACTGGTAGTTCCTTTGCACCCCAACCTACACATGATGCCGCCTCCGAGAGGCTTGCTAGGTTTTTAGCTCAAGAGGATGTTGACCCCGCACCTAGAGGCAATAAGTTATACATTAGTGCAGGGTGTTTTGGGGGTGAAGAGTCATCTATCTTTGAGCTCAAGGAAGAGATTGGTGTCTTAAATTAGAAGCTTATCGAGAAAGACATTTTGATTGGAACTCTAGACTTCAGAGATTCTGAGATCGAAAAAGAAAACTATCAAAAATAAAAAATATAAAAAATTTGACTTGTATCTCAACCTCGGTGCTTTAACTGCCGGATATTTTGATCTAAAGAACAATTTGATTAGTGAATTTGGAAATAAATTCAAAAAATCAGTCAGTGAACACAATGAAGCTAAGGTTTCCCAAAGTTCTCCTGCCCAAGCATCTCAAGATTCACAAGATGCTCCTCAACATGTTAGTACGACCCGTATTGTTGATCGTTTTGAAATGGAACCTGCTCAAGCTGATCCGAGAGTAATTCAGAAGCGAGCTCGGAAACAAGCAAAGACTCAAGGCAAAAGATCATTTCTCTTCATGAAAAATTCTAATAAAAGCGTGCATGGTGATCAAGCCCTGTTGAGTGTGATTGAGCTGGAGAAAAAGCGGTCAAAGCCAAGTATGGAGACAGGTTGGTAATTATGGTGTGGGGATTTCATGACCAGAAGAACATTTGGGCAGTCAAAAGGAAAAGTGGAAATGTGGAGTATTATGTGCATCAAAATGACTTTAGTTCATGGACTAAAGTTGATCTTATAGAATTGGTTGAGGCTCCCTTCCACAACCCATCAAACGATCCGCATGGAACTAACTTCAAGCTCTTTTTGGAGAACCAAATAAAGAAAAAGTTTGATGGGATGACGACTGCAGAATCTTTTGTCAAGAAAACTAAGGGCGTAATTGATCCCAGCACCAATTGTTAGATTTGGTGTCTAAGCGCATAACTATAACCAGGATGTACTTGACCCGATAGTAGCATGATCCTTTTGGGTTGCCTTCACCAGTGCAATTTGATAGGATGGATTTTTAAGAATAAGGTTATTTGTGATTTATTAATCTATTACAAGTCTAATATATTAATATTATTTAATTAGTATTGATCAAGAACTAATTTGGAATTAATTTTATGATCAACAGAGACTAATTAAATATATAGGGATTGATTATGTAAATCAATGATTCTTGTGATGTGGGCTAATGATCCATGGCTATATAGTTGTGCTAAACCAATAAGATAATCCATGGAGGTTAAAACCCATGGATCATAAGAATGTGAAAAGGCATGGAACATTAAGCATAGTGGTGTTTGTGAACCATTAGAGGCATCACACTTGACGTTATCAAGCTTTCAAAGGCCAAGAACTCTACCCTACTCAAGAGGTAAGCATCCAAACTAAAGTTTTTATGATATACAACTTCAATTGTATGCTAGCTAGGGTAAATGCTTTGGAAAAACAAAATGCATGTATAATTAGAGAAAAAATAGATTCAAATCATCTCGGGTTGCATGTGCACCATAGGAGTGTTATAGTGCTCAAAATTTAACAATGGTATCAGAGCCTAGGATTGTTTTCCATTATATTTGATTCTCACTAGTTTTTCAAACCTAAAAAAGTTGAAATTCTGGCCTCTGACTGATGAATTCGTCGAGTACATGAACAGACTCGATGAGTCCACTCAGTAAACAGGGCAACTCGGTGATTCAGTTCATGCACTCGACGACTTGAAGGCCCTGTTTGCAAAATTTCGAGTTTCTTGGCCTGGTTTGGATTAAGAATGCTACCACAAATTGTATTAAATCATTTGAAATTGTAAGGTTTGTCTTTGTTGTAATTAGTCGAAACAGGTTTTGTACTCTTCGTATGTTGTGTAATCTATTTTACTAGGGCGCTTTTATACGAAGCTTAAGTGTTTAGGCCTTAGTATATTTTTTGTACATTTTATGTATCCTATAAACAGGATCATTTACTAGAGTTAGATAAGAACCTTTACAGTCTTGTCTATTTTTCTCTGTAACAAAGAGCATAATGGAGCTTAAACGAAATCTTATTTGCATCCGGTGTTCAATCTCTCATACTTTCTTCAATATTAACTATGATTAATATCATACTCGATTCATTATATCTTCAATTGGTATCAGAGCAGGAATCATCTCTGTGATCTGATTTTCAATTGTTCAAAAATTTTTTGAATCAAATTTTTGGTTCAAACGTTTCTGTGCTTTTTGAAACTGAGAAATTCTCTTAGATCTAAGATTATGATTTGATTTTGCATTTGGATTGTTGAATCGAGTGTTCTACTAGATTTTGTGAATCGTTTTAGATAGTCATTTTCAAATTCTCATTGTTATTTAAAAAATCTCTAAAAACTTCATTTGTTCATTAATGGCGAACTTCAATCTCAATTCAATGACTTCGTTTTCTCATCTGTTTGGATCATCAACCAAAATTCCAATATTAATTCCTGAATATTATGATCAGTGGGCTGATCGTATGCAGGATTATCTAAATGGGCTTGATGAAGAATTGTGGAATTGCATCAATGGAACAGTTCAACCTCCATTGAATTTTCAAAACTTAGGTTCATCTGGAACTACTTCTGTAATTGAAGATCAACAAGCAAGACTGAAGAACAATGAAAAGCAATGCATGAGAGAGTTGAGAAGTGCTTTGCCACCAGTTGTTTACAACTACATTCGTGGTTGTAAAACTGCTAAGGATATTTGGAATACTCTTAAAGAAAAGTATCAAGGAAGTGAGAAGACAAAGATCAATTCCGTTAAGCAGTGTTTGGATGAACTGAAAGAATTCAGACAGAAGGAAACTTAAACAATCGAAGTCTACTACGATCATCTGAATGAGTTGATCTACAGGTGCAATTGTTATGGAATTACAAGGTCCGTAATGGATTATAATCTTACTTTTGTTATGGGACAAAGGAAGGAATGGATGAGTGTGAGTATGATGATAAAAAATCAGCAGAGCTTCAACAGTTTATGTTTGAATGATATTTACAATCAGCTAAAGACACACGAAAGTAAAGTCTCTGAAATAGCTGAAGAATCCAAGCAGAGTTTAGGATGACCACTGGCTTTAGTTTCAAAAGTGTCTGAGGTGGAATCTACTAAAAAGGAGAATTTGGATGAAGAAGGTTTTCTTTTAAATTCGGATGATGAAGTTGTAGCTTTTTACTCGAATAATTGAGTTAAAAAGTTTTTCAAAAAACCATTTAATTGTAAGGGAAAGTAGAGTGACGTGAAAGGAAATGTTACGAAGTCTGGTGTAGAAGAGAAAAAGAAAGTTGAAAAGTCAGAGAAGAATGATGATAAGGTGAAAGAGTTTAAGGTAGAAATGAAATTGAAAGGGGATTTTGGTGTAGACTGTCATTATTGTATTGGTGTGAATCATTATGCAGGTTATTGTATGCTTCGAAAGAAAGAAGAAAAGAAGAATAGAGTCAAGGACGAAGCATATTATGTTGAAAAACTAGAGGAAGTTCGTGAGAAGGCCAAGGGATTGTCTCTTATGGCAAGAAGAGAGAGTGAAGACGAAAAAAGTGGCACTTATTAGATTTGGTCATCAGGGTCTGATGATGAGGAGATGAGGCATCGGTTGGATTAGTGTCTAAGTCCATAACTATTTTGGTATGTACTTGACCCGATGGTGCATGGTCATTTTGGGTTGCCTTCACCAAAGCAATTTGATTGGAGAAATGAATAAAGAGAGAGAGGATAATATGATTTATTAATATGTTATAAGAATAATATATTAAAGGAGAAATCATATTTGTTTAATTAATATTGGTCAATAATTAATTAAGAATTAGTTGTGATCAAATGTAATTAATTAAACTAGAGGGGCTGATTTGTAATTATGTGATAGTTACAAAATAAGGTAAGGATTATCTTATTTATATGGTGGACGAATTTAAGGTTGGAAAGCCTTAGAATTCGAGTATGATAAGGATTCAAGGATTATCTTATTGGTTGCTTAATGGATAATCAACTAGATAAGGATAATGACTGAAACCCTATCTCTACACCTATATAAACACCCCTAGGGTCATGAATTCGTGTATCCCTTCCCAAGAGGTCCTAGATACGAATTCTAACCTCTCACCTCTCTCTTTATACCTTCTCCATTTGCTTATGGTGTTTGTGAGCCATTAGAGGAGTGACACTTGTGACTCTAAGCATTCCAAAGTCAATCCAAGGTGGAATTGGGATTGTTATTGCTACATAACAATCAAGGTATGATCTTAAACCTAATTACATATTAATATGATTACTTGTATGCTAGAATTAGGGTTTATAGTCTTGGATTCAAAGCATGTACAATAGAGAAACCTAGATCCAAGCATTAGGGTTTGTATGAGCACATAGGATGTCTTATGACCAAAACCCATCAGTGGTATCAGAGCCTAGCTTGGTTTCAATTGTATTGATGCATTGTATAACTGGAAAATCATTTTTTGGGCTTTATGGCTGAGGAACTCGGCGAGTACCCCTCAACTCGGCGAGTACAGTGTAGTACTCGGCGAGTTCGAGCGTCAGATAATGCTTATCTCGGGATTTCTTGCTGTTTTTGCATTTGGATAGTTACCTTATCATGTTAGATCAATATAAATCCGATTTTATGATATATATGACTATATTCTTGATCTAATTAAAGATAATTATCAATTAATAAGATAATTGTTTCCTTATAAGATAATTGATTAATTATTTTGAGTAAATTGATAAATTGTTTTGCAAGAAATCATTAAACAAATCAAATATGGATAATTATGTAACTAAATGTTAGTTTAGATTATTTGTTATTTGATCCTTGTTGTTATGAAAAGTTTCATATTTTCCCCTTTAGGTTTTATAGTTTAAATTTGAACCCAAAAGTTTTGAAGTTTTGAAATTTAAATAGTTAAAACCCTAATGTTTTGAAATGTTTCAAAACTTGCCCTCAAGTTTTGGAATTTAAAAGTTGATTAAAGGTTTAATTAGAAATGTTAAATTCTAAAACCCTAGTAATGTTTTGAAAAGTTCAAATCACACCCTTATGGTTTTATTAATTAATTAAGGAGTATAATTAAAAGAGGTTTAATAAATCCATAAAAGTTTAGGTTAACCTTTTAATTGAATTAAAAGTGTAATTGTTAAAGTTAACCATATAGTATTTTAAAAGTATAAAATACACCCTATACTATATATAACATTAAAAGTCTAACATTATATATGTATGAGTAAAAGTCAGTCTTACCGTTAGTAGGCCTCATTCACGAAGCTGGTCTATAAGGGGTGTTTAAGGAAATTGCCTATAAAATGGCGATTGAATGGGTATCCACTCTTACCCACCGCACTCTTGACTAGTGGAGGGTCGTTAGCCGAACGGGTAGGATAGGACGAAACCTTCCATTATAAGTATAATGAAATACAAGTAACTAAATGTTTTTCAAATTCCCAATCTTAGTTACTTAGGCAAAAGTGAATTGATGCAATTCCATGAAATTACACTTTGTGCCCTTGCGAAGACGTTAGTGGAGCGTGTGTGGTTTACCGGCACACTAAATGGTTCTAAGCAAAGGTAGCAAAGGGTGACTCAATGTTTGTCATAGTTCGGTGGAGCGTGTGTGGTTTACCGGCACATCGAATAGGTGATTGTAACATGTGAGGGCACCATGTAGTTTGCATGGTTATTCACACCCGCTTTGTGATCCTCGGCATCCCAGTCACAAACAAGAGGGGCATATCGAGATTTAAACATGCCATTGAAATGTTCAATGAATCTCAAAGGATCTAGGAGTTTTCATAGATTTAAAACTTAAATTTCTTTTTCGTTTTTCATGGTGGAAATTAGTGAATCGTCATTCACTTACCTTCAAATGTTCTGCAATTTGGGTTACGGCATCCCTCTCCCGAGTTGTAGGATAT